GCTACCAGTTGATTTTTAATAATTATTTGAACGCATTTCATAGTAATATACTCTCAGAAACTGCCAGCGTCGTTCGCCCTGTTTGTAATTAAAGGGACGCAATAAGACGGGAGCAAAACTGTTGCCCCTCAGACGGTAATGCGAAAACGACTGTCTCTGTCCCATCATTTACGCAGAAAACACGTGACTGCTGGTCAAACTTGCAAGTTTCTGACAATAAAACAGCCACAAGTTTCAAGATCAACTAAATATAAATTCCTTAAATCAACTAGGAGCTTAAGTTCTATTTGCACGAACTCTAAATTGTCTAATTATATATGAACAACACAGTCAGAACATAATGAAAATTACGTAATGCCCCCAAAGTAATGCACAGTTTAATTTTACCATTCAAAAGTGTCTACACCTAATAAGATGGCTCGAAAAAACCGTTCAGAGCAACAAGTAAAGGAAAAAACGCACTCAAGACAACCCCATCTGTATGAACAGTAGATTTTGACGCGAATAAAGGAACAGAGCGCTGGTAAAAAAGCTAGAAAAATATCATTCTAGACATGTGCAACTAGCCAATTTTCACTATTTTTCTAACTTAGAGATTCGAGAAAAAAGTCAGGCCTGAAAACGAGTCACTTCCAAGTAACTCAAAAGTTTTTGGCTTAGCAACAATCCTATCTCAAGAAATTAAAGCATCAGTAAAGCGTAGCGACGTAGTTTACCCATGCTGAAGTTTCAGCAGCACTTTAACTTTAGGATGAAGTCATCGCTAACGAGATCCCTTTAACTCCTCTACGCGGAACTCCATTCGAACGGAGCTTTTATCAAGAAAGTTTATGAGGAATTTTATGACCCCTTCTCACGTACCACTTTTCTATCCAGTCGCACTCTAAAGGCTATTCAGGGCACCTAACTTATACACTTCTGCTTCGTGAACACGAACCCCTCATTTTAGTTCTGAAAAAAAAAACTTAAATTGACCAGCTATATTAACTTTTGTAGTACTTCAAAAGCTACAATTTCCAAATTGCATCTAAGGAAGTAAATAAAATCATCCAAAGAAACGAGTAAATTATACATCAAATGCCTTAAAAGTAATATGAGACTTTGGCGTGGAAGAGCAGTTTTATGGAATCAGTAAGTATGGACACTGTGAAGATATAACCAAGATACACGTAAAACTTCAAGCGAAATGTACAACAACATTCATGTTCTTCCAGCAACACGGTAACGCCAAGCAGCATAATACAGTGAAAGAAGTGTTCTAAGCAGTAAATAAAAAATGCACCAACTAAGACAAATGCTTCTGAAAATCAAAGTTGCAAGTACGCCTGAAAAATATGGAAACAGAAGTGAGCTATTGAGCAAAGACTAATTTTTCGCTGTGGGACACTTAAATTAACTGCCTTAGTTTTAAATACTCCTGACTCT